TCAGTTTTTTATAATAATTTTATTGTATTATTAAAAGTTCTCTAATAAAATAAAAGATATAAATATATGTAATTTACGCTCACGAATCTATCGTTTTTCACAATATATCATAATAAAATCACAAATATAAAACTTCTCTTGTCTGTTATTTCAATTCTTTTAATTCATTTTTCTTTTTAAATTCGTTTTTTCTTTCTTTCTCTTTCTCTCTCTCTCTCTTTCTTTCTTTTATCTTTCGATTTCTAATTCGTTTTTTTTTCTTTTTTTTTTCTTTTTTAATATTTTGTTTTTTTATTCCACGCCATTTCTAATTCGTTTTTTTTTTTTTTTTTTGACTTTTTATTTCACGTCAATTTCTCAATCAGCATTTATTTCATTTTTTCTTTTCTTTTTTTTATTTCTCAATCTTGTTTATTTCATTTTTTTATTTTTTTTTATTTCTCGATCCCTGTTTATTTCGTTTTTTTTTTCTTTTTTTTATTTCTCAATCTCGTTTATTTCGTTTTTTTCTTTTCTTTTTTTTTATTTCTTGATCTCGTTTATTTCTTATTTTTCTTTTTTTTATTTCTCAATTCCTATTTATTTCATTTTTTTCTTTTTTTTATTTCTTGATCCCGCCTATTTCGTCTTCCTCCTTTTTTTATTTCTATCATTATGGCTTTGGTTGCTCCTGTTGTTGCTTCATTCGAATGGACCATTGAAGCTGCAAGAGAATTAATTTGCAAGAATCATGATGATTTTGAGTTCGTTCCTAATAATCGCTATGAAAGGATATGGAAAACATATCCAACCAATTGTTTTCTAATAGAAGGTTCGCTGCTTCTCCCTTTCAATGTCGTAGGAAATGGTACTCATTAAAATATGAGTACAAAAATCTCAAGAGGTTGGAAGCTGGGGAGAATCCCCACGACCAACCAATAACAAACCCAACTCTGCATGATCGGATATTTCATGCAGACTTGGGTGACGAATTTTGGCTTCGAACTGGTAATTATTTATTGAATAATAGTAATAAGAAATATATTTTTTACTTTTTAAAACTTCAATTTTTTAATTTATTTATTATTTTTTATTATTTTTAGACGTAAATCGTCATCGGTATAGAAGACAGCATGTAGATCGCTGCCGGTACCAGTACCGACATAGATCTCATTCTCGCCGGAATCATAGATCCCATTCTCATGGTTATTCTCGGGATCATAGATCCCATTCTTACCGTCGTTGTTCATGGGATCATAGATCACGTTCTCGCTGTCATTCAAGGGATCAAAGATCCTGTTCTCGAAGATACAGAAGGAAGTCATATTCTTCACGAAGGAGAAGTTTTTCGCCGAAAAGGCATTAATTTTTTTATTTTTTATTTTTTATTTTTTTATTTTTTTATTTAATAATTTTTATTTTTAATTTTATTTTTATTTTTTAATTTAATTTTAATTTTTAATTTTATTTTATTTTTTATTTTATTTTTTTATTTTTTAATTTTAATTTTTTTTATATATATTATTTTTTTTATTTTATAATAAATTTTTTTTTAAAAAAAAAAATTGTAATAGTGTTGCAATGCCCAAATAATTACACAAATTAATATAATTTTATCTTTTTTTAATTTATCGCATAATCATATTTAAAAAATTCTAATCTAATTAAATATTGATCATTTTGATTATGTAATTTGATAGTACAAACAGATTTGTCATTTTTTTCGATCATTTTCATTAATATATCAGACTGTAGCGTTATATTATCTGAATTCTGTCAATTTCATAAATTACCAAACCCTAAATACGTTTTACGTTCTAATAATGGAAAGTCTTATTGGTTTGACTGTATAATTAAAGAACACATCATCTTCACTTCAAAATATATTTTTATTAATATG